GGCTACTGACCAGTCAACCTACGGCTGCTTCTTGTTTGTCCCCAAGTCAGGGACCCACCCTTAAAGTCTACAATCTCTTCCTGCTCTCCGTAAGGCCACAGTAACCTTCTGTATCCTTTGGGCTGAAAAAAACCCCAAACACTCTGTCCAGACTAGAGGGAATGAACTAATTAATAGAAAGCTGCTTGTCCGATTTTCAAGGCAGGTACCTCAAGTTTATTTTACTGATGCCCCAGGGGTTAGCTAGCTGCTGAGTCAGAGGGAAGACTTCATTTCGCCCTGGAATTTTTTTATTCCAAACCTGTCATAAGGTTGTGTTTGTCAAGCTGCGGTTGTTTTGCCATGTGGGATTTCTGAATCAATTCAGGTGACTTGGGTTCAATGCTGAAATGGCTGCCTTTACAGAGCTCTCTAGCACCTTCCCTCAAGCCTCACAGATGTTGCTTTTCCTGTGTAGTGTCTGCCATCCTCCTGCTCTTACAGTTAATACTGCAGCATTGCAATAAAACAATGTATTTTAAAGAGAGAAGTACTTTACCTAGCACCTTACTTTTCTTTCTTGAAAGATTCTACTTTTACTGCAAGTTGAGCAATTTGATTTTCAAGAAAGTTGTCCACAATCTACTAAAGCACACCTTACCTCTTTCTGACATGCCAGCACTGGTACTTTACAAATACTTGTACAGGAGTCCTCCTCTATAAACCTCAAAGCATTTTACACGGCAAAGGAAGAAAAATTATTGAATTCTATTGCTGAAGCAAAAGCTGCATTAATTGCCAAAAGCATCTGTTCAAAAAAAAAATATTTTTTTTTTGTTTTCAAAAGACCAGGGATCTAGTTCCCACTGTATCAAAAAGACCAGTATTATGTTGGCTAAAATTCACTCAATTTCTCTAATTCCTTATTAGGGAAATACTATCACCTTTCCAGTCTTCACAGTACAAGGATAAATCAGTTATCATTTGCAAAACATTGGACTACATGGTAAAGAACAGCAAAGAAAAAATATTAGCCATAGCACAAGTTAGTAAGACATGGTAGGAAATCTCCGATTTTAACCCTTAGAATTTTAATCCACTGAAAAATTGTTAAAAAGGCCACTATATCTTAAGTAAAGCAGCCTAACGTCCTTGTCAGATGGTAAAAGAAACAGTCAGCTTCTATCTTCTGATTTTAAACAATGGAAAACCAATACAGTAAGGAAAAAAACCAAGCAACTATTTGGGCACAGCAGCCCATAAATATTATTTACATATATAAAATAAATTATACATTATATTTATACATATAAGCACACATATAATAAATAATGTATATACACACACATGTTATATATACACAAGAATTGCTATTGGAATATTGCACATTTTCATCACTTTTCTAGAAAACAGGTATTCACATATTCTGATATCTTTAAAGAAGTGTTTTTTCAAGTCTGGTGAGACACTCACAGGGTGAGGAGAAGCTGGTAAAGGCAATCATACTATCTGCTTACATCCACCTTTCCTCTTGCCTTTACTGCTCCTCTCTCCCCTCCACCTCCCCTCACTCCATCTGCTGCTCTGACAGGCTGCTTTCTCCTTTGGCATTCATTTCGTCTTATTTTAAGGCTCCTCTCCTGATTATTGTCATTGATATAAACACCACCAAAGGACGCACTTGCACTTCACTCATAGCTGCCAATAGGAATGTGTGAATAAACACTACGCCACCTTTTATTTCTCTATATTTTAAAACGTTTTAGATGTATCAAGTTTCTCATTGCAACAGACACAGCAATCAACACCAAGTAACCTGTCCGCTCTCTCCAGATCACAGATAAGATAGCTATTTTTACTGAGCACGCACATCTCTTCAATGTTAATTTGACCTCCAGAAGAAACAGATGGGAAAAAAAAAATCGTAACAATTACTGCCTTTTTAAAAAATCTGAACAGAAACTTCTACTTGCACCTCTGTTCAAATTTAAAGCTCTTGTGCAGCTCACAGAATGGACTTCCCTACCTTTTTTCTACATTATCAATGCCTTCAGTTGAGGTACTACAGTTAGCAACTAATTAACATGCACTGAAATGAGTAGCACGTTTCACAGCTCCATCTCTTTGAGGTTACTTGCAGACCCAAAGAGATACACCACGTTGATTGCCTACAGTCACGTTTTACTCTGAAACAATGACAGCTAAATATCGGGCAAAAACAAAGCATGACAAAACATGACAAGGAAGGTCATCTGTGTGTTCCCAGCACGAGAGACAGACTGTGAAATACTGCTGTTGAGTTAAAAGTGTTAAACAATAATTAAAAGTACAGCAGAGATGTAATTACTATCTCAAAAAAAAAAACAAACCAAAAAAAAACCAAAACAAACAAAACAACACCTACACCATTTTACCTATTTAACATGCTAGGTAAAACAGTTTTTTACTAGGTAGCAGCAAAAGCACACATTCACCAAGTTCTACTTTCATGTAACAAAAGAGTATTCTTAGCCACTGATTTCAGCTAGCTTATTAATCAAGGAGAATAGCTAATAATACAAAATTGCAATTTAAATGCTATTACTAGGAATACTGTTAATGGAAAATGAGAGCCTTTCTACACTCTCAATACTGAATATTAAGGTAAGCCTTTAAGCGTATATTAGATAATGCAGTACTGAAAATACAAATGCAATAGCTTAGTGCATATTCACAAAAGCTCTAAAAGGACTGCAGAACTACAGTACTAGGGCTGATACATGAAGTACTTCTCCCATTTCTACTACGGCGCAGCCTAGAAAAGCCAGTAAAGAAACCACTGGAGGCAGACAACATGCAGAAAAACAGGTCGAAAAAACTTTGATGGCAACAGGTACAATACAGTGAAAAGAGTCAGTAAAAAAAAAAACCTCCCTTGATAAAATAAGACATAAGGCAATTTACATACAGATCCTGCAATTCATCACATACATTCAAGCTACTTACCATGTAATTAGGGATAAATTATAAACACTGAACCATGGTGTTTCACTAGCATTTGTACAGGTTCTCCTCCTCCAAACAAAAGCACTGTGTATAGAAACTTGGCACCCAAGTGCACTGCATCAGCATACAAGTTTTTTGAAACTGACAAAGCATTCAGTTCTAGGGAACTTCTTTTCACTGTCCATCCTTCCACTCTTTTTTTTTTTTAGCTTGCCATAAAAGTCATAAATTAGAATATTCTGAGTTCCCTAAGGTGACAAAAGGCACTTGGACAGAGTCTGTGAAAAGGTTTAGAAATCTTGCTTCAGAAACTAACTACTGAGAATTTCCAGTTCCCTTTATAACTAGTTTAAAAGGAATATCTCACTGTTGATGAATACGACTTCACAGTTATTTTGATTACAATTTCTCTCACCAGAAGACTTTATGTGAAATTTTATTACCATCTCAAAAACAGAAATCCTTTTACAGGCCCAAGAAGAAACATCCCACATTGTTCTTGAACTGTACACTTATCAGCAAACCAAGGAAGCGATCCCACAAGACTTCATTCATATAAGCAGCCATTCAATGAATCTCAAATGATGCAGCTGTATTGCTGGAAAGTTGGGGGTTTTTAAATGCAAGTATCTGAAAGCCTCAGTTGTTAAGACTGAGCCTTCCGAATCCGAGAATGTAATTATTTTTCCAACTTATCAAGACTATTCCCTAAATGCAGTGACTGCTGTAAGTGCCTCTGCATATAAAAAAAACTCCCAGGGTAGAATGGATAAATGTATTAAGAACTGATCTTAAATTCTCTATGTCATTACAAAAATCAGTAAAGAATACATACTTTTAATCAAAGGTTCATGAGGCATATATCGATTCTGTCACTGAAAAATTACTATATTTAATCAAATTAACTGCAACTAACAATGTAATCAATGCATGCTAATGTAAATTCACGTACAATGAAAGAATTGGAGCGCCAATAACTGCAGACCCTTATAGCACTATTTTGAGTGTTTCGATTAAATTCAGGACAAATTTCATTTGACTTACAAAGCTTTTTCAGCTGAGTTTTGGACTGAGACCACATGTAGAAAATATAGGACTAGAAAATGCATACATCGAGATACAGAAATCCTCTTTCATAAACTGACAGTAATGTCTGGCCCACAGAAAACGTTTGTTCTCTATATACTTGTGGGTGATGCAGCACTGATGACTAAAAGGATCCTTAACACAACAGCCTACAAACTACATTTGGAAACACCCTAGCGACAGCTTGTGTTTTCACATTTCACTTCTGTCACTGCCCCAACATCAACAATTGTAACATCAGGCACATCTCCAGTTGTATTTATTGAATATTGAGCCTCACAAGCTTGCTCACTTATATTTTGTTCTACCTTTAATCTATTTTAAAATAAATTAACGTATTTTTAACCTGTTGTACTTGGACTTAGGCTCCAAGAGCCTTTACTGTAAATTAAGCAGGCAGCTGCCCCTTACTAGATACTTCTTAATTTTGGAACAAGGGAGAAGAATCAATCCTCCCTCCTTTCTCACAAACAAATCAAAATTCACCCCACTCCCTATCACAAGCATGAGGCCAAATCTGGCTGCTTTTATTTCAGATGAATGGGAAGGTGCTCTTACTAAAGAATGTGAATGTAAATTTATTTTGGACTGAGTACACCAGAACACACTTCCTCTCTCTCTAATTGACCTGATTTTACTTTTTACTCAGGTTTCACACTAACTTCTGAGAAAACCTGAAATAGTTGACTGACTTTATAACAATTTGAAAAAAATGTTAAAAATGTCTTCTGTAGCCAAGAACTTCCTCAAGTCAAAATGTCCATAAAAACACAGAATGGGTCTAACTCCTGCATAGGCCAAACTGTCCAATTCAGAACTTTAACAGGTACTTTCATAGTAAGCAACTTACAGAAAGGATAACCAAAAAAACATACACTGTGGAAAATTTGCTAACGAATAAATTGCCTCGAGAACAATGCCATAGACATCAAAATTATTCCAGAACCTACCTGTGCATATTCCTTCTCAATTGCAGCTCTCTTCTGACTGAATGCTCTGAAAGAGGGAAAAAAAAAATCCCTTAATACATACAGCAAACCACTATAAATTCAATAATTTACTTAAAAGGATTTTCTGCTAGAGAGTCTTTATAGTTAAATGAGCAATAAAAAAGCAAAATTGTTTGAAAACTGTATATCAGTAGCCTAGCAACTAGTGCATGTGGACTTCACATATGTGATGTTCAAATTTCCAAGTTTTATTGGACAAATTCAGTTCCCAGGACTACCAGTGTAAATACCATTTACTTCATTAAAGGCTCATCAGCTTTCCACTGGTATAGCCTAGGGAAGAATTTGGTAGCACAGAACAGAATTTGGCTTTATGCATCTAGATGGACTTACTTACTATTTCTTTTTTTTTTTTTTAAGAAAATGTAAAGTAACAGCAACTGAACATACTAGATTCATAGTTGTAGTCACAAGACTAACAGCCTTTCTCTAAACCCATGCTGTCCCACAGCAATATACTGATTTACCCATTAATGTAGCTATATTGCATTAGACCCACTTAACTCGGTGCCAATCGTAGCATGTCATTCCACATTAACATCGGTGCTGTACTCTCACGTAGGGGCTCAAGATGTACCATCTCAGTGTATTTTAAAATAGAGGGTTTCAACACTATCACTGTTATAACAGGAAGAAGGTTCAAATACCTAGATGTGTCAAGGCTCTTTTTTCAATAGCTTAAGCTATTCCCTCTTTAGCACTTGAACAGTGAAAGCAGAGTCATTTTCTTCAAGCTATACTACAAACTACTAAGCTTAAGGCTACGCCATCAGCAAAAGAAAATCTAATTCTATTTAAATTAGTTACACAATAATTATGGTGACACATTAATAAAAAATCCTCAGGAACATCCTATAATAAGGTTAACTCAATAAACACAAACAAAAGGAGCTCTGAACAGGCTCTTTCTACTCCTGTCTACTCCATTTCACCCATGAAGAGCATCCACACGCTGATAAGGCTCAGCCTCCACAACGGGATCTAAAACAAAAGTCTAAAGGCATTGTGATTGCTTAAAATTCTTTCCAGACTAATGATAGCCCTGAAGATCTGGCCATATTCCAACTCAAATAATTGCATCCCATCTTCCTAAATCCCCCTCATGTAGCTCAGGTGGGTACAAAGGGCTGTACGACTGTGCCACACGAAACACCTCTGTATGAACAGGTAAAAATTGTCTGAGGTGCCTGTAAATGAATCTACTTTGTAAACCAGTCAAGATATTTCATCTAATATTACAAAACAATTTCTTTTAGGCTTTCCTGTTCCAAAGTCCAATATCCTAGTCAGTGTAGCAAACATCTAAAAACCACACATACTATCCTTCTAAAAGATCTTACTTTTCTTTTAAAAGTATAAGTAACTGCAGAAGTAACTACTAGGAATAACTGAAGTGTGTTACCAATATTGAAAAGGTGAAAGAAAACAAGCAGCTGGCTTTGAACCGTAAATCTGGGAAGACTTTAGGCAAAGGCAGTTATTTTCCAAGTCTCAGCTAATCTTATTTGAAAACATATAATCAGAGATAAATATTAAGGATACTCAGTTTACACAAAACCTGGATATGGAGCTGTGTATTTCACCGTGAGGTTTTTTTCCCCCCATACAAAACAAATTTCACTTAAACTAATTGCATAACAATTGTGAACAAGCTGGAAGCCTGAGATATGCCCTAAAAACCTTCTACGTTAAAAGGTTTACACTAGAGAAAAAAACCGAACACATTCAACTGGCCCTAGTGTAGAATTACAAAATACCATGCAAATCAAATTTACTTGCAAAACTGACAGAAATCTTGGACTTGGAATGACTGCAAGCTCCAGCACGAAGAAAATGTATGTACAGTAGCACCTCCATGAATTAGAAACATTTTAGAGTAGTTTCAGATTTTGTTCTGCATTTTAAATGGGGTCTTATAAAAAAGTTGGCAGGACAGCATATAATTCAATTTATACAATACTTAAATTTGTGTTTGATCTGTGTTTTGGTGAATGAAGTAAATGGTAAGTACTGAAAGACCAGCAGAATCAGCCACCTGTATTCCTTGAAGCTGGTGTTCTCTGCTGCTTTGTGACTGCGTTTCCCTCAATTTGTCAAACACAAAGCTGTTTTTAACCTCGGGACAGTTTATACAGGAATCCCTTTATGACAACCATAAATATATTACAAAACACAATGAAATATGAGACTGAAGTAGACAAATTTCCCAGGAGAAAATGATTTGGAGCAGGGGAGAAAAAAAAGTGTCTGACTAATAAATGCATCATAGTTTCTTAATTTGGGAAACCTGAAAACTTTCATGTGTGTATCTTGATTTATGTGCAAAGCTGGGATATTCTTAACCTTATTGTCATTCAAGATGGAATTTCAAGTTCATTCATACACGGAAAGATTTGGTTCCGTAAACTAATAAAACGTTCTCAAAGTTTTTTAAAAATGAATTAGCAGGTCTGCAAGAAGGCAGGAACATTATTTAGGGTTTCTTTAAACTAGGAAGTATTAATATCTTCTATTACATCTTTTTCTCTAATTAACCATGAAGTGCAAGAAGCACCAGAACTGCACGCCTCAAAAAGTATCCTAGCTTTTGTTTCTGGACAGTAATTCCTAAATATCATCTCTATCCTGCAAATGTTGATTCATACGATACGCTTACTCCCTTTGCCCCACTAAAAATTATTCAAAACCATTTAAAACTGACAGTTTAAAAAGAGGATGAGAAAGAATAAATACAAAGAAATTCAACACTATTTGGTGTATACAGTCAATCTGCAACCATTTTCCATTTTGATACTTGCCACAATCCTCACATTGCAGGAAAATCCTGACTTAAGTCTCCAAAAAAAGAAAACCAATTAAAAAAACATAAAATTATGCTCACCATCAGGACAAGCCACCGCCATTTATAAAAAATGCTATTTTATTACACGTCAAGAGTGTGACCAGATGCCTGTCTTTAAAAGAGCCTGCTGCTAGGGAAGACTGCTGCAAGCCCGAAGGAAAAGTCACACTCAGAAAAGTTACTTCAGTGGTTTCAACATACATCATTTAACATCAAAAGGCAATGCCAGCCACTCACAGCATTTCCTCACACACCGCTTCCAAGGCTTACAGCTCCGTATGACTAGAATGAACCTAATCCTGGAGGGATTATGAAGGAATGTTCTTTCCAAAGCACAAACAGCTAGAGAACCTCGGCAGAGAAGGTTTGTCTTCCTTTGAAATGTCAGCAATTGGCCAAGTCTGGTCAAAAACAGAGCAGTGGGGTTAGAGAACAGTTGCTCCTATTGTCATTAGGACAATAAGGACTAAATATAGGGTTAGAAAGGACTTCTCTTTCAGACTAAAAACTAGTAAGAATATCTGAAGAAGAGGAAGGTGGGGATTTTTCTGCTGCATAGCAGGACTTCGCCCACCTACATCTTCTCCTTACGTTCCTCATCGGGCTTCTGACCTGGGATAACACATGCCAAAGTGCACCACAAGGCTGAGCTAGTCACTTTGGTTCCTAAGGAAGAAAATTCTTTGGTCTTAATTCATAGGACTTCATGTGACAAAAAATATCTGGATGAAACGTAATAATCTATGGTATTAAAGAAATTAGATTATGCAATCTAACTTTCCCTTGGGCTCTGTGAAACAGTGGAACTGTAAGGGAGAAGCAGAAAGAAAACTGTACTTACTGTCATCCCTGCTTTGCCCATACTACTTTTACTAGTGCTAAACCCTCACTGTCACTGCAAATTCCCAAACATAAATTCCAGCAACTGTCAGGTATTTAAATTACTCATATCAACTTAAGGTAACAGATACTATGAAATGTTCAGGTATATTTTTAAATTCTCATTGTAAATAAGCGTAACAATGTGAAGTAAGGAGTCGGGTCAGTGGAGAATGATACTTCAAGAACTCTTCCTATAGAGAAACAGGAGAAACAGACAGGCTCTACTGGGTACGTGGATGTCCACTTGGGTTGGAAACGTCTAAAGCTCCAACGTTCATGAAAAACCAGTATGTTAACATTAAAATATGCATTAGTGTTATATAAAACAATGTTATATTTGCCAAGATTATCCAGTCATACAAATCTAAGGATGAAAGTCACAGCTTGCACAGTAAAAACAGTTAAACAGTGACACCCTGAAAATCAGAAAGCGAATTACTCTCTGTATTAAAAACCCAATTTAACTGTATCTAGAGAGCTATGCAAAAATGTAAACAGACACTTCATGTACAGGTCTCTTGAATAAAAGAAGGGGCTAAATTTGCATAGGTGAATGTATTTCCATTTAAAGGCTGAGAAATTCAGCAATGAGCCAAGCAGGGGGCTGAATCACATTTTGAATGAGTCCCTGTACAAGATCACGATAATGGTCAAAAACAGATGTATTAACTGGCAAACCGGTACAACTCACCTAGCACTAGCAGTTTATGTTAATACAATTTTTTGGCTATGGAGATTCAGAGAAGTTGTTCAGAAATTTTAATTTAAAAAATGCCAAACCTTACAATTTGTACAACTATGCAAAGCACCAGAAAACGTACAAATTGGTATCACATCTGAAACATCCAAAAGTGTTAGACTAAAGAAATGCATCTGTTTTAACTGACATTGACCTAAGAGAGTCCCCAACTGCTACACTAACAAAAGCAAGAAGCAGCAAATGAGAAAATAATGCGCTCAGCTCTAGGGAGACTGGATTTCCCAGATCAGCAGAACACAGAGCAACAGAATCGACACTTTCAGTGCCATCTATCCGAAAGATAATGGGGGGGGGG